TGGAAAGAAGTTTGCAAACTCGCAGCAAATGATTTGGTAAGACCATTTTTAGAAGTAGGCAAACTGCCATGTGTCGTAAGAACATTTGATGACGCGTGTAAGCATTTGGAAGTGTCAGTTATGAATATGACCTCATATAATGCAAAGATTACTCATGGATCAATTTATGTAAGCGGAATTTTCCAGAATTTTCCAGAATTGCTATGAAGAAATCTGTACTGATAAGCCGATAAACGTATTCAAGGAAGCATTGGAAACAAAACTGCAAGGGCTGGAATTACAGTCTGCAGGCATTTCCGACATAACTACAGATCGTAAACAACATGATATGGGACTCGAACATGATGATAATATTCCTACAGCGGTTCTGTATCTACTATGCGACAAAGACTACTCTGGAATCTTGCAATTTCTGACAAAAAATACTAGCATCCAGAGACAGGCAACGTGGAAGCTAATGGACCTTAGTACATTCAAAATGTGCTTCCGTTGTTTAGGCCGGTAAAATAAAATAAATAAATGAAGAGATTTCAAGATGATTAAATAGAAACAATACAAGGGAAAAACTTGTAAGCCTTTTTTCAGTGAAGTGGTGTTGCTAGGAAAATGTTTTCAGGGTAAAATTATTATCTGACGTAATCAAAATTTGTTCACAATCATCTGCATCAAATTATTTACTTTCAATTTATTTAAGATTTCAAATCAATATCTTCAAGCACGACGGAAAAAAGTGTGGAAAACTGATATGCCGGACTAACGGACGAACAGACGAACGGACGGACAGACAGACAGACAGACAGACAGACAGACAGACAGACAGACAGACAGACAAACTGACGGACGAACGGCAAACCTTAAGTCCCCTTCGGCTTTGGCGGTAGAGAACTAATAAACATGCATTAAGACGGGGGATATACTATCTATTTTTATCGATTATATATAATGTTATCATTAGTGATAGATATATCATCCTAAGCTTCAAATTATAATGACAACACGGTAAAGCCCCTTTCAACTGAGTTTTGCAGTTGTTCTTATGTTGTGCTATTACACCACTGTCCCACGTTAGCGAGAGGGTTGAGCGTTCCCAAACTTATTTAAAACCACTATCTGTCCCAAGTGATCGATGGTTGCTGTCTATCATATATGATCTTTGTTTATTGTTGTGTACATAATTCAGGCCGTTAGTATTTTTTTCGTTTGAATTGTATGTTTGGGCCTTTTATAGCTTACTACACGGTATGGGTTTGGCTCATTGTTGAAGGTCGTACGATGATCTGTAGTTGTTACATCTACGACATTTGATCTCTGGTTTATAGGTGTCTCATTGGCAATCATACCACATCTTCCTTTTTATGCAAGGTATATGATATATTGCACTGTATTTTGATTGTGCAAAATGATTGTAATCTTCCCCATTGTATGCACATTTTCTTATTTCAGTAATAAAAATGAACAAAACAGACTTAACTTTACTCATCTCAAACTTCTACCCCCCAAATATATGCTTGGTGTCTGTTCTATCTATTACACACATTTTCTGGCTCAATCATCTTGAATATTTGCCACTTTTTCTTCCAATATAAAGAGCACAGAACCAGGATATAGGTGCACAGAACCAGGACATTTTTTCTAATTACCAGCACATTATCAGGACAATTTCGTTTTGCCAATTTGCACGACTTTTGCATAAAAAAATCGTTGTATTATACCTCGCGAGGTACGTTTAACGCGTTAGTGAAAAATTAAAAAATAGAATGGTTGTTTTATTGTCGTTCTGATGCAATGTTAACAAACCCTCCTGCACAGAATCAGGACCCACCAGCACCAGTCAGGACCAAATTACCAGCACAGAAAGTTCTCTCGCAGGACAACCTTACCCACCGTGAAGACAAAAAGTGAACGTGGACGAAGTACAGATCTGAGAGTACTCGCAGTTACTGACAGTTAGTTTAAAGCCAATAACAACTAATAAAAAAACCATTTGATGCTAAAGGTGTTACATTTAGGCTATTTAATTCGATTTTATTCATTGGAGTTTACATGCATAGGTTTTCTTAAAAAAAAAACATACAAAACACGATTTATTAATTAATTGGACTGATCAGACAACACTTATTATTTTTGCATTTGCATGTAACGTTGTGTAGGAAAATTATAGAAACAAAACCAAAATGAACATTTACCTGAATATTGCGAAGAACAAAATGCATCTAGGTCTGTTCGATTAGAAGTTGTGAAACAAGCTGTTTAAATAGCTAATTGTTGGAAGAGTTTACTTACTGTTTTTGGTCTGGTCTTTACGAATCTATTTCACGATTACTGACAGATTAAAAACATCAAATATATATAACAAGAAGTTTTGGTGGAGAACATTCATTGTCCGTTGTAAATGAGGTCTGTATAGGGTTTTGATTTCCTCATTTATAAAATAGAAAATCGTTATATTGAAAAGTTGGAATTCAAAAATATAAATTTACCCTTGAATTTTATAAAACTATCCTATAGTCTTATTTTAATGCTAAAAACATTATAATTAATAAATATTTAAATGATGTAATCCCATTTAATCAATCCGTTTTCATGCAATTGGGTAACTGTTATTTGTCTATATCAGTCTGAGTACTGTTTAACTATCGTTTAAGTTGAATATATTTAGACTCGTCCCATACAGGGGAATTAGGAATCTGCAAGTGTTTTTGTGTGTACTTTTCTTATGTTTTTGACGGTTTGTAAGTCATTAAAAGTTCAATGATTAAGTTAATATTTACATTAAATGACCTCTTCACAAAAAGTGTTCAAATCCCTTCTTGTTCGAAGGTCTTTTAATATCAATATTAACTTATCATTGAGCTTTTACTATTACGAAAATACTTCATAGTAAAATTACTATACTAAAATTAAAGTTACTAGATTAAATAATGGTTTTAAAACAAATTCTGCCTTTTAAACTGTCTTAAAAAAAAGTAGTCAAATCACAGAGCAGATAATTTGAAAAAAATAAAGCTAATCGCCCCAGTACCCATTGGAGAGTTACATAAGAAATGGTTTGTCGTTCTCCAATGAAACTGTGGACACGTATGGGTAATTTTCAGACTTATTTCTTTTTTTAAACTAAACTGTGAATTTGGGAGACGTCGTAGGGCTGTTCCGAACGTTGGAAAGTGATTCCCGCAAGATATGAGCCGACAATTTAGGAAACACGATTTCAAGAACAATTTTAGAATTTTCTCTAAAATAAGCACGGTAACACATAATATTCATGTATCTATTTCAAAATGCACAATGACAGCTAACTCATATGAAACTATTACAAAAAATGACAATACAAGAACAATGTCAAACATTTCAATAAAGGTCGGCTTTATTTTACATATTCTGGCATGCAATACGAAAATGAAACAGTACTGATTACATGTAACTTTTCCTAATGTATATTTATCAGGTCGTTTGAATAAATTCAAATCGGCTATGTCATTGCCTAACTCACTAGTTGAATAATTAATTTATTATGAAATTTCATTGAAATATTACAACAATCAGATTTTGAGCTTCATTGTTCTCAAAAACAAGCACGGAACCTATGTTTTTCTTAAATGATTTTTCAAGGATGTCATCTCGATCTACAACAATTTTTCAAGTCACAAAAATAGAAAAATTGACTTTATCAGCGAGCATTTTGGTAAATTCAATCCTTTTTACTTTGTCGGTGTGACTTTTTAAACGTGTTGTTATTTTACGTTTTCAGGTGTGCGTTTTGGCTCATCTGGTCCAAATGGCCAGTGTGAGCTTTAGCCATCAATTTGCCTCTGTCGTCCGTTAATTTTTTACAAATCTTATCTTTTAAAACCACCAAGTCAGTTGACACCAACTTGGCTACCATTTTCCGTAAAGTATCCAGTTTAACATTTGTGTCCGATGAACTTTGATGAAAATGAAAAACTGAAAATTGCAAAATGATCATTAAGATAAGATCTACAAAAAGGTAAAATGACAGAAATCGTCCGATAACTATTAATAGATGAGCCAAATAATGGTGGCTTTTGCATGGTTAACTTTAACTTTTCGAACCCTTGGTTCAATAGTTGTATTATAAGCAGTAAAAAAAGGCAACTGTTCAAAAGTCATTAATCGATTAAGAGAAAACTAACCCGGATTATAAACTAAATTGGAGGGAAACACGACAACTATAAAAGGAAAAATACTTTCTGAAGAAGGTTCAGTATGAAGTATCTTGACCTCTAGATATCTTTGAATTCTTAGTATCGGTTAATTAATGTCGTTTGCATCAATTCAAATTTCACTCCATAATTGCGCTGTGATTATTCATGAACTTGAGGCATCTGTACCTTTTTGAATATTACTTTTCCTTAGTTACTGCTGTTGGCCTGTTTTATGTTTCTAAATCAGTGCCAGGACTGATAGATTCATGTTTACATTAGAATTTCGGCATTTCTGTGTAAATAGATATAAGGAGATGTGGTATGAGTGGCAATGAGACAACACTCCATGTTTTCATTAATACACATTGTATTTCCTGAATGTTAGCGACCTATTTTTACAAGATTTGTTATTGTGTCCATCGTATTCAGAAAAAGGGAGGATCTTAATGGTTATAGTCTGTTCTTTGATATTATAAGTTGATCGGGGTGATCGCATTCACACATATAACATTCACAGAAACAATTTTAAACATACTTATTGTGCCTTAAAAGAATTACTTTCAAATTATTCAGTTTTTATTTCCAGAATCTACTTATTCTTTTATTTAAGTGAGACAACTTTTGGCAAAAACATTTTGCATTCTGATTGGAATCTGAAAACTTTTTTTGAAGCAAAAAAAGATAAAAATCTAGTCTTGTTTGTACATTCTCCACTGATTTTCTACTTTTTATCTTTTTATGATAGTTAAACGTTCTTTCTACTCATTACTATCTGTATTATATGTTGTGCCTATTCTGTTTATAAGCTTTAATTCTATAAAAAGATTGGCTACTTACAGTTAAGGACTCTATCATCATAACCGTCGCCTTCAGATTTTGCCAACAGGTAAGAAAATTCTAATTCTAAAATAACAAGAAAGCAACTTATGAACAACATAACAGCATCATAATCTTAAAGTCTCATAATGGACCATTTAGCAAGTATAAAACTTTTTCCGCTTTTTTCCATTTTAAGTTGTTGTTAATGTATATTGTTGAAAAATATAGCTACATTTAAAAACATTTTAAAGCTCAACATCACAAAGTCTGTCAAACTTGGTATTGTCTAAAAAAACCCGCATGAGATCATTGATAACTCCGTGTTACACATAATACTCGCTAGTTTTGTGACGTCAAAAAGTTCTGCGAACGAGCAAAAACAATTTTGTCGAACGGCTAAATATAAAACTATTATTCTTAAATCCCAAAATTTGAGGGTTCTAACTTAGGGCAGACACATGAAAATTTGACGGGTTTTTATATTTGGACCCTTCCCCTTTTGATATCGAAGACAGCTTATAGATGAATTATAAGGGTTGGCATCTCTTGATATACATGCACCAATCGCCAAACAATATACATAAAAATGTCCTTATCATCAGATAAGTTTACCATGTTATTGCAATAGAAAAGATAGGATATGGGCTATCCATTCATGACACTAAATCAGTATGTGCACAGGATAAAACACGAATAGCAAAGGGACAGCGTTTTTATTGCTATACTTCATCTCAAAGTCACAGTGACGATTTCAAGATGGAGCCAAAAAACTCTCACCTCATTGTAAATATAAGACGGCCCCCTAGTACTGGTTTGAGCAGAAATCTTTGCAAACTGAAGATCAAGCCACTATTGTGTATTGAGAATCAAAACCATGGAGCAATATCAATAAAATAAATCTGGCAAAGAAATCAAACAAGACACAAATCAAAGAAATACATTTATGTCACGACAAGTACATTAAAGATCAAAACATAAATTTTGTACACCATGTAGTCCCTTTATGATAAATAAGATGCGACATTAGCTGCGAACACAAATGTCTGGATAGGGTATAGAAAAAACTATTTTCACAAGAAAAAAAAAGAGGAATCATATTTACTCTATAAATCTTGTTATAAATAAAATATCAATCGCTATGAGTCTCTTTTAATGACATTAACCTTTGAACCATGAATCTCAGGTATCCTATTATAAACATTAAAGCTGACAATTGTTTTTTTTTCTGGGTGCGTTCAAGATACAATTACCAATAAAAGTAAAAGAATTGACCACCGTTATATCCATTTTCCTTTTTCAATTAACACTAAACCTAATACTATGAAATATATATTAAACTAACCACGAACAATATCTTGGACGATTTCAGCATTAAAAATATGCACTTTGGATGTTCTGACGTAGAGTTTGATATCAACTGCATGTCATTTAGAGCAGTACACATGTATATGATTTCAACTAATCGATTGTCTAAATCAGCTCTTTTTAAGACAAACAGCATGTTCCCATTCATCACACGCGTGTTGTGCCATGTTGTGTCATTTTTTTTTCTTTTCAAATATTATATGTATTTGTGACAATTGTCAAATGTCATTTATTGTTTACTGTAATGGTTATTATGTATTTGAGAAAACCTCGTAAATTAGAAACTTGTGTCTTATCAATAGTAATTTTCTTGTGATGACAATAACATATGTTTAAAGTATATACTAATTTGTGAGGGGTAATCTATACGAAAAAACAGGTGTTTTGCGGAAATTTGAACATGTCTTCATCAGCAATGTAAACTGGATGCATATATTCTGTCGGAATAATTTCTCTGAACAAATCGTTTCTCGACTGACGCCTACCTATAGCTACAGTGAAGCAATATAATTTGTTGCCTGTAATTCAAACTGTTTTTGAGGAAAGTTATCTATACATTTTAAATTTAGTAACCAACATGTGAGTTGGATGTAAACAGGCGGTACCTGTCCTTGTTATATGTAATTTTAGGAAGAACAATTTCTTCATTGCAACCAATCCCGTATTCTTGGATATCATTATTGAAATGTTACAACTGTTTTAAATATTTTTGATATTATTCACCATGTGAGCACGATTCTCTCTTTATAAAGGAAAGAGGCAAGGCATAATTCATAATCCAGCTTTTCATCGCATAATTTTATTTTGGAATGTTTTTATAAGGTCTTTACACTTTTTTGTAGAAAGACCTATTGATTTTTTTCTGATTTTTCTGATTTGTTTTTCTTCTTCCGCCACTTTTATTTCTTGCGTGGAAAATTTTGTTTCGCAAGATGTCGCTTAGATGTTTGGCATATGAGAAAAAGAGGGCCGAAAGATACCAGAGGGACATTCAAACTCATATGTCGAAAATGATGTCGCACAGTTTATGCGCCTTTGAAAATGAACCTGCTTAACCGAATACTTTTCTTTGTAAGAGTTACATGTATCTCCCCAAACACCCATCTTCTCCATAACCGTTAAGGAAAACGAAAAATTTATTTTACCAAATTTCTCGTTATATCCTTAGGATATTTTGTGCAATTTTGTCCAAAGCAATACGAAGACGCCATATGAGAGTTATTTCCCCGTCTATAACTAAGTGATATAGTGATGTATTGCATCAATGGTAAGTGATAGAGACTTTAAGTATTTTGATTTGAGGTCGTTGGTTCAGAAAAATGAATATGAGGTCCAGGTCAAAAGTCAAGGTTCTCAATTTTGACTCTTCTTTGTCTTATGATCTCCTTTGACACTTTTAAAGATGTATAATAAAGTAACTATCAACGTGCTGGTTAAATTTCACATGTTATTCTATACCACACAGATAAGATTTAACAAGTCACAAATAGCTCCATGAAACAAAAATATAGGATCGTACGAGAACTGAATTATACGACCGCGGGTCCGTGCGTGGTGTTTTAAGGACCTGGGAGAATACTACACTATTGAAGATATAAAAGAATAAGTGCAAAATATTTGATTTATTGTGATGAAGATATGATACATTTAGTTTGAAACAATCCAATGACATCTTACGGGAGTAATTGCCCCTGAAATGTTTTAATAAAATGTGAATTGATTATTACTTCAACTTGATACATGACGAAGCTGTTGTGTCTTTTGCAAAATGTTGGATGATATGTGACTTTGAAAAATATTAACCGGAAGTGACCCGATGTAAACCGGAAGCAGCCATTTTGTTGCTCTTATTTCATTGAAAAGTTTCTAGACACTATTTATTTTTAAAAATGCAAATATATACCTATTATTAAAGACCTAAAGTGGCTAATTATATCCCTCATTACAGACAAAATTATATAGAAATCATATATTGTTGGAATCAGTGAAATAACATTAATCATATGAGGCCGGAATTGATATTTTCTAAACCGGATGTTGTCAATTATCTCCCTTATATCTAACAAAAATATATAGAAACCATTTATTTTAGGAATCAGCTATCATTTGAGACTGGAAGCTGCATTTTATGAACCGGATGTAGCAAATTATCTCCCTTATTTCAGACAAAAGTTTATATAGAAACCATAGAATTACCAGCAAAAAAAAGTTCTTCCGTTTTATGTTTTTCCTTAAATTTAACTTATTAGATCAAAATAAGGTGATTAAATGATTGATTGTTGGTATTTAACGCCACTTTCAGCACACTTTTCGAAATCGTGGCGCCAATTTTTCATTGGTGGTAGAAGCTAGAGTGCTTGGAGAAAATCAACGACCTTCAGCAGAAAAAAAAGGTAATTCTTTTAAAAAGCCACACATTACAGATTTCAAGGAGTGGTTCGATTCCCAGTGAAGGCTCAGAAAATTACAAAAGCTAAAGGTAAGTTAAATTAATTCCATTAGTGAACATAAATCAGTAAATCAGCCAATTCAAAATTAATGAAATTTGGCACACAAAGGAAACAATTCAATATCATTTGATGTGTCGATTTCGGAAGCGTTGATTCTAGAAGAAGAATCCACGGTAAAAGTAAATGATTACGTCACGGCAATGGTTTAAGAGATTTACAAACTCTAAATACGATAAAATAGTAAGAAAATCGGCCAAAGAGTTTAAGGGAAAATAACTGGATACAATGTAGGCAAATAAAACACACGAAAAAAATAAACAACTGGCTCAAAATTATCTGGGTATGACTAAACAATGTGCAACATGTGGAATTGGCTGTCATTTCGAAGCACCTGAAATAACTCCCGTTTTGTGATGTTTAAGTTGCTAAGTCTTGTGTCTTTGGCGGTTTTCAGGTTTTAGCCGAGGTGTTGTCCGTTTTTCTACGACTTATGAGTTTGAATATCCTGTTGGTATCGTCCACTTCTCTTTTAAAAAAGTCATGATATAATATCCGTGATGTCATTTATATTTTATATCGTCGGGTTATTGTCGTAATGACAATTAACTTAAATCTTCTATTTGAGTATCTCTTTTTATGCAAACCACAGTTCATTCGTCTCTAAATATATTAATTTCATTGCAAATACCTCCCAGAAAGAACTTAACCACTGTCACAGAAATAAAACAATCATATTAAGTTTATAACACTAAGGTCGTCATCATTAATTAATAATTTGCAACTAACCCTATCCTTCCAGCTTTGAATTTGGAACAGGATATACAAACTTTCTGGAAAAGATAATTTGCTCTCTGGTTCCAATGATCTTCCAGGTTCGATCGGTGAACGTACTACTGAAGCTGTTGTCTGTTTTCGCCTATGGTATTAATAATTTGTTGTTTGGCCCGTACAAGTGTCATTGTTATTAATTTGTATACTCCGTACAACATTGTGCAATGTAAAATAGAATTCTTATTTTTTTATTCTCCCTCCATTGTAAAATAATTCTCATATCTCTAGCAGGCTATATTCTGTGTGACATTTTATTGCTCTTTCTTATTTTCTTAATACAGCTGGATGTCTATACATATAACATAATTGTACGACTTTCATATCTTTTAGTTAAATTGTCAATAGATTATGTAAAATATATAACATCTATTATATAAGTACGTCTAAACAAGTGACAACCCTACGACAGATCCGTCTGGTGATACACGACTGAAAACAAATATTGTATTCATCTGTTATATATATATATATATATATATATATATATATATATATATATATATATATATATACATCAAATTATTCAGCAACATGAATTATCACACAAACACACACACACAGTTCTTACCCATTTCACAATTAACTCCGTAAAACGGAATTTTACATGTACATCTATATCCACTCATTTCATCTGTACAACTACCTCCGTTGACACATGAATCGGATGCACATGTATTCATATCTGTAAAAGTATGAAAACGAAAAATCTAAAGGGTAGACATAGTATACATAAATACATAGGTTAGGGAAACAGGGATTGCTCAAGAAACAAAACGACGTTTAGACAAAGTCCACAAGGCTCTAAAATGAATACTGAAGGTTGACTAACATGTACCCAATCTAAACCAATGGTGGTTTTCAACGGTTTGCAGTTCCTGATTTTCACACAAACTTTGATTTTTAAGAACGTTTTGATGAATAAAGGCAACAGTAGTATACCGCTGTTTAATAGTCATAATTCAATTAAGCAACAACAAATCCGGGTAACAAACTAAAACCGAGGGGGACACATCAACTATAAGAGGAATACAACAGAACAACAGAAACACTGAACTTCAACAAACGCAAACGCCAACATACATAGAAACGGACTTGGTACATGACATTTTAAGAACAAATGGTAGAATGAACCTGGTTTAATGGCTATATATATAGCATTAATAACAGAAGATAATGGACACAGGCCTGATTTAACCATTATTTTATCTAGTTACAAGGCATAACCGTATATCAAAAAGATTTTGCAATTGCTAAATCTTATTACGCTGTTATAACTTTACACTTATAAATAAGTTTCTAAGGAAAACAATATCAGAATTCCAGGGGTAAAAATAATATGTTGATAAGATTTTCAACAACATTGACTATTCTACATTCCATTAAATCTCAAATGAACTCTTAGACAGTAGAAAATTTACAAATGTTTTAACAGGGTCTGTACATTGTAATTGAAAGTTGTCAATTTATTCATCTCTATGTTGACTTGTGAAGGTATACTGGATGGACTGGATGTTTAAATCAATAAACAGTAGGTTCTAAAGTAAACACTATCATATTTTCAGTGGTATTTAATGAAAATATTTAACAAAATCTATAATGCAATTGACATATTTCTATTTTTGTAAAAAGTAAAATAACAAAAATACCGAATATTCAAAATAGAAAGTCCCTAATCAAATGGCAAAATCAAAAGCTCAAACACATCAAACGAACAGATAACAACTGTCATATTCCTTGGTACAACCATTTTCTTATGTAAATAATTGAGCCTAACCATTTGTGCCGATTTCAAGAGCAGAGGACCATCATATCATAATGGTGTTAAACCTATTGAGGTTTTGAATGTTAGCAGAGAACTGAATTTTAAGAGATTTTTTTTCAGAAAATAAGATTTTTCACCTCGAGAAGTCAAATCACAAAGGGCTCTTAGGGATTTGAAAAATTGAGAAAAATGTAATCTCACTTCACGATCCGACAATTAACCAGATATGTGAAAATATCTAAGCTTCCGAACGAGCAATTATGCGTATCGTTTACGATTGCGGCAGAGGAATTGCAGAAAATACAACAAAATCCACCTACATAAAATGATTTGTGCATATTGACCAAGCTTGGGCTTCGGCTTATATCTTTTTGCCTCGAGCTATGTCTGCAATGGCATTTCGGAACTAGGGAGTCTCCAGGGAAAGTTAGTTTGAAAGATTTGTACTTTGTTTGCAAATTCCAGTGGCAAATAATCGTGTCTTCTCCTTTGACGTTAGTTTTCATAATCAATGATAAGTGTCGTTTTGTTTATAACTGTGACGTAATACATATAAGTGACAGTTTACTTGTGAATCTAGTTAAAATTTAATGCAACTAAGGGAATCAAACGAGATCTACTGGTTCCAAGAGATTATGTATAAAAATAAGAAGATTTGGTATGATTGCCAATGAGACAAGTCTCCACAAGAGACCAAATGACACAGAAATTAACAACTATAGGCCATCGTACAGCCTTCATCCATGAGTGAAACCCATACCGCATAGTCAGCTATAAAAGACAACGAAATGACAAATGTAAAACATTTCAAACGAAAAAATCAACGGCCTGATATATGTACAGAATAAAGATGAACGAAAAACAAATATGATAAACAGCGCAACACAATAATACAGTATACAAAACAATAAGCGAAAAATAAATATGATAAACAGCAACAAACAACATTGTTCTTTTTTGTCAAAGCTAAAACTAAATAATAAAGTGTCTATGATTTGATTTCTTTCATGTTGTTATTTAACCCTGTCAAGGTTTGATTTTTCACACTGAAATGTTTAGATTTAAATGCAAAGTACGATTACTGTGACCGAATATGTTATGTAGATACGCAAGAGTTTTGAATTTTGTATATTTCCAATAACTTTGAATAAACATCTTAATTTTACTTCGTTTATTATAATGAAAACAACCGGTAACCAAATGTCAGTATATCAGTAGCTGCTGTGTTTCTGACCATAACATATTGTCATTATCATACAAAGTTTGGTTAAGATAGATTTTGTTATGATTTGAAAGATTTGGTTCAGAAAAATCATAAGATAAGCCGAATTTTACTTGTCCCAACTTGGCTTAAAGAGAAATCGTCAATGATGTTTGTTATGAGCATTAATTGTAAAATTGTTTGTCTTGTTTTTCAATCCCCCACCGCCCTCCCACTCAGCCCCCCCTGATATGATTTCAGCTCCCAATTGTGAACTTTCCATTTCTATGTAGCAACATTCAAGCAGCGCCTGCATACGGCGTATATATCTCCTAATTGATACGATATTCCCGGGCTTGTATTTCCTATCATGGTTTCCTTGATAGAGAATTGCTGCTCACAAGGAAGCTATTAAACCAAGAGTTCAAAAGGTGAAGTTGAAATCATCCCTTCGTAAATTTTACGGACGCCATCACGAGTTAGTTGACCGTTACGGAATATCCGTTTCACAGATGATATCGGATGTATTTGTAATGTCGTAACTACAATCCTGTTCCCTTTCCACTAATGTGACCTACCGAATAAGACTATTTACCGGGATTGTAATAACATGAGCAACATGACGGGTGCCACATGTGGTGCAGGATCTGCTTACCCTTCCGGAGCACCTGGTGGGGTAAGTGTTGCTTAGTTTATATTGTTCTATGTTTGTGTTTTGTGTACTATTGTTTTTCTGTTTGTCTTTTTCATTTTTAGCCATGGCGTTTTCAGTTTATTTTTTATCTATGAGTTTGAATGTCCATCTGGTATCTTTCGCCCCTCTTTTAGTATTGACTGATGAGTTTGAATGTCCCCTTGGTATCTTTCGCCCCCTCTTATTCTAGTGATATTTAAGTGTGTCACAAGCGCTTTCATATATACTTTTATATAGAATGATGAAACCCAAAACTTTGAAAGTCAAGGATGTATGAATCTATGATCTATATTTACCTCAAAATAATAACCAAATCATCCTCAGGTCAACCTTGTCTTATAGATATATATGTTACCTTAGTTTCCTAATAACTTATAAATTTTTAAACGGAAAATTTAAGAAAGGTATGGTATACATCATATCAGTGCCAAAGGGATGATTACTAACACAATGAATAAATTGTATTTACATGTGTCTACATAATATCGTCCAAAATGCACTTTTTACCTATTTTATTAAAAAAAAGATACAATTTTCTTTTCTCGATTTCAAACAGTTAAAAGTTTCTTAATAAATAGAAATAAAAAAATAGTTTATTTGTGATGCATAATACTAACAAAATTGAAAGCCTCTTACATATAATCGAATGTTCGTGGTAGAATTGTGAAAGATAAATATAGAAAATAATTGAAATTATATCTCACAGATTTGATTGGTCGAGGAAAATCGGAGAACATCATTCTTTCTATCATTCATAACAAGATTTCTGGTAGCATAATGTCTCATAGTGTTCAGGTTGTGTCTAAATGGACTGTGTTGGCATTCATTAAACGTTATAGTCTGGTCCACAGTGAAATTGGACCTTAACCAATTCCTTTCAAATTTTCTTGTAGAAAACGATTTAATAACGCCTATGAAATTAGAGAATACAAAATTATACGAAGTATGACAATATATACGTGGGGTAATCACTTGTCATCACTGTCCTCCGCTTATAGAAAGGAAATAATATTATAATACAAAATTACGATTATTTCATTCTTGTAATTAAACAAATTCATTACATTCTATCATATTGCCCAAACTTTTATCTGAATTTTTCTCAGTTCTTATATATGTTTGATGTATCGTTGGCTTTGTTTTGTCTTGTTGATAAATTGTCCTCTAGATTTTGATTTTTTGCATTCCCATTTTGAACACAGATTAGTCTATGTGATCTAAGTTAAATGCATTTATACTGAAATATTTAACTTAAATATGTGTACATTATTTCAATGCTCGGAAGTCATTGTAGAGTGAACTCACTAATAAATAGAACGTTTGCTTGATTTCGACATTTCTCATCTGTGGTCTCGATTGTTATGAAATAATTGTAAATTTCTTGTGTTTACAATTAATAAATGTGTTTTGCCAGGATAAAAAGTCGACCACAATCATATTATCAGGTAAATTATAATACCTCTGGAAACACGTTTGTACTGTTCCATGAAATCATTAAATAATATACTATCCACTGGATCTGGAACTGTCCCTTTTATAAATGTATGAACGTTAAACTCTGACGAAATAGTAGAGAACTGTTGTGTAATTAACACAGTCTCGCCACTCTGATACTTGAGTAAAGCCGTTCTGTTCAGTTCTCCACCTAAAACAATAAGTTGGTTCTCAATTCATTGTAATGTTTATTTTGTCTTACCTTTATTTTTTGATTAATATACTTCAGTTTATAAAATGTGAAAGTGCATTTATTTCTATACACAATAGGGACAATTCCATTTGTTGATAAAATGCTCACTTTATAATATTTTTGTAGCAGCAGCATAGATATTTGGAAGAAAAGTTGCGGTTTAAATTTGTAATTTGTATTTTTAAATTAACAAAGAACATACAATTTTTTAAAAGGATTGACAAAGGAAGTATAAAAATGATCTACAAAAGCATGCATCCTAAAAATTGGCGTTTGTCTTTTCCTAATTTAGTCTAGTGTCATGTCTCTATTGGAAAGATATCTATGAACATATCTTACTAATAAATGCAATTTCTAAAAAATCATATCGTCGATGAAAACGGTTGGAAGATACAAACACAGCTTCTATTGTCATAAAACCAAATGATAGCAGGCACCACATTCACATGAAAAAGACAGTAGTAATTAGAACATTGCACAAAAAGGCAACGATTGAGTAAAGTGACAAAAACGTTAACCAATATAAATGCATATGCACATTAAAGTATCTTCTTCTGTTCCAGTGTTGGAAGGTGCAGTGTTACTTTTGCAATACAGACAGACAATTACAGTCTGATATTTCAAATTTTAATGTATTCCTATAAAGTAAACTACATCTCACAGTGTACTTACCTGTCATCATGAAGCCATTTTTAGCCTTCTTCCCCTGTGGAACAGCAAACATCCATCCAATGATGTCACCGATCGGCTGCAATATTTTCATCATTGTTTTCACAGTGTTTTGTGTACTCCTCATATGTGTTTCTATTCGTCCATTGGTTGTATATACATAGGAAAGTAAGTCCACATTCTCTATGAATTTGTTGTTCAATACACCATTAACTTTACCTCTCAGTATTAGTCTTTTCCCTATTTATGTAAAGACAAAAGGTATTAATTCATCGTTAGTCAGTAGATTGACGTAGCATAATAATCATAGCGCTAATAGGGATATTTCTTTTTCAATTCTCGTCACCTCTCTTGGATTAAAAAATGCGCAAAACGAATATCATGATTTTCAAAATAAGTGGACAAATACTTGAAAAAGGTTAATTCTATTCAAGTTACCGTAAAATATTATGAAAATTATGAATCACATATAAATTGTGCAGTGCTTACCTTAAGGGAGTTAAAAAACCTTAACCATGTTTACAATGGTCATGGCTGAAACAACAGTCATTTAGGAATTTTGTAAACATTTTAGATGTGTAAAAATTAGATCTGACAATATTTTAGTAATTTTAAACACAGAGATAAAAAATGTCATGTTTCATTTGCAATACTATTTTACACTTTTACAATACACTTACCTGTTTTCAAACATCGAATTCCATTCCCGTAGAACGGTGCTATGCATTCGCAATAGGCGGCTTTGTCAAAGTAGACATACTTGGCGTTGACATGACATGTATCTGCTGCTTCTGAACATGCAGCAACACTCATAGAAACCCCAGATGTTGTGTCTGAAATATATCAAGTACACATTTTATTCTTTAGAATAGTTTAGAAAGGAATATAACACTTAGCAGGGACAATATTGATTACAGCATTTATATCATAATTGTAACTACAAATGCACTTGCTGTATTATGGCACAATGACTATATTAGACATTTATATTTTATTATCTATACAGTATATGTAACTGTCATGACATAGGGGAATAAATAAAAAAGTCACTTTATTATAGTCCCTTCAAATCAAAAATCAAAAAGTATTATAAATTCAAAGAAGAATATCTTTCAAAAGATATTTGTCTGTCAGAATTATGGTTTCAAGAACGAATAAAGGTTATGCAAAAACGAATATCGTAATATTTATATCAGGAATTTAATGGTTTTGCTTTTTGCTAACCCCAAAACCAACAAACCTTTTTAGACCTATTTCTCTGACATACCTAGTTGATCTGAAGGAAATAATTTTATTTCAGCCAAGAGATCACTTAACATTAAAAAAAACTTTGTCCGAAGAGCTTGTAGGCGAAATTATATATGAAACTAGTACATTTTTTGTACAACTCGAAGTTTTGGCTTTCCTGTAAGTTGCTCAAAACGAAAAATGTAAATAATGCCGGTCAACCAGTCATCTCTACAAATTCCTAACCGAGATAAAAATATGTCTGAATTTAAAGATTTCATTTAAGGTCACACGTATAAAGAATTATACTTAAATAAATACCACCTATTTTTTGAATGATTTTATTTGGAATCCTTCAATTCACCTCCACTCCTAGACTATCCTGATTTATATACTAAAGGATATGAAGGGTATATGTCAAAGACACACCAACCACACACAAAAGGTAACATACAGTCGTAAACAATTGGTTTATATACAATATATTAAGCTCTTAATCGTCCTAAATTAAGAAAATGTGAATAAATTTAACAGAAAAGATCTTCCATCAACATGAAATTTTTCAAGAGAACAAAAACATTATCACATAAAACAACCACTGACGAGCTTCCTGATTTACGACAGGCACATGCATAAATGGCGGGGTCAGACTAAATACAATTTTTTCTCTGGGTGTATGCTCTCTATATACCAACTGCCCCAAGCTTTAATAAAGATTGCAATAAAGCTTAATGAAAGTCTCTTCGTTTAAAAAATAATAAAAATCAATAGGTTTGTGTTTAATAGTAAGCACGATTTCCATGTTAACGGCACATCAATAAAGATGTATGTTTTGTCATATGCCTATATCTGTATAGGTATTTGGCAAAGGCAAAGACCCAAAACTTCTCTTGACTGTATTTATTTTGGTTCGTTGTCATTGACGATGTTGACATCAAAATGAATAAATTATTACAGAAACACAAAGATATTATTGATCAAGCCAGCAACTCAACGCCATTCCATCAATAAAATCAAAACAAGAGCGCAGCTTGTCTAACAAAGACCACTTTACAAAATAAGATTTAAGAATCATATGCGATTTGAGACACAATCAGTTTGCAAGAACATTCGTAATTGGTGATATCTTTGACTTGAATAAGTTTCACACTGAAGCAATATACCGTACAGATGTTTTTTTTCGCGGGTATACAATTTCGCGATTTAGGGGCAACATACGAAAAAAATTTGGCGGCTTTTATTTTGGTGGATTCTTAAATCCCAATTAAATATTTTTGCGGTTACTGAAATAGTTGCAGATAAAAAATTGTAAAAATTGAAAAACAAGTGTCTATTGTTATGGTTAATTGATTGTTTTCCCTCAATGACGTCTTATTTATTGATTATATTCTTATACGGTTAATCAATAGAATACCGGTAACTTAGATATTTGTCACAGATATACACACTTCTTAAAAATTTTACGGTTGATTAGTTACGAAATTGACCGGACCTTTGACGTATTTACTAATTAGGTTATTAAATTATCAAGAGTGACTTGCAACTCTTATGTAATTTGACACCTGATGGTTATTTTATAAAATACATGTATGTACATTGCCCTTTTGCATTTATGTTGTTTAAACTATCCTATACCGTTATTGACCTGCCGATCGGAATAAAATAAATCGTTTACAAAACGCTTTAGCTATTAGAAAGTACCCAACGTATGCATAAATTTTCGCGGAATTTATTTTCGCGATTTTTATTTATCCGCCAAAATAAGCGAAAATAAACACCCCGCGAAAATAACCCGCTATACGGTAACACAAGCTATTTATACTGTGTATACAAAATCAAAAGATCTAGTAGAATACATGCAATCTAGTATTCTGTCGTTTAGTAAATAGTGTGGCCTCCACACCAATACAAAATATTATACACTCGTACAATTACCGGACAAAACATGGTTAACAGTCTAGTAAAAAGTAAAATGGCAAAAATACCGAACTTAAGGGGAAATTCAAACCGGAAAGTCCTATATAAAATGGCAAAATCAAAAGCTCAAACATATCTAACGAATGGAGAACAACTGTCATATCCCTGACTTGGTGCAAGCATTTCCTTATTTAAAAAAATTGTGGATTAAACCTGGTTTTATAGTTTGCTAAACCTTTCACTTGTATGACAGTCGCATTGAATTCCATTATATTGACTCATCAGACCGGTACAATACAAACAACAACCAGACAAAGACAAATAATTATATCGAAGAATGATTGCAGTTACTAAAAGCTAGACAAAGTTCAAGTCCGAATTTTATCAAATATATTAACAATGTTTTCCTAGGCTGTTAACCATGTTTGTCCGGTGATTGTACGAGTGTATAATATTAAGTGTTGGTGTGGATGCCACACTATTTACTTAATTGTTTCTGACTGTGTAGTGTGTTTACGTGTGTTTCACAATCCCTAGTGCTGTGTATGTTGTTTGATAAATAAAGGCAACAGAAGTATATAGCTGTTCAACAGTGTTTGTACATCTGGATATTACACCATTCTTAAATGGTACCCGTCTTGTATTCCCATTTGTTGTTACAATGACATTTTGCATTTCATCCATTTTGTCACCAATCAAATCGGAGGTTCAGAAAACTGTAAAACGACCTACTTAAGAGGCGGCGTTAATCAAATGTGGATACCAAAATAAAAATTGCATCTCTCTTCGCTTTATAAGTATCTCCCATGCTGAACGTCAAAACAGATAGAAATAATTAATCCAACTTAGTTTCATAAAACAAAATGTCCAACTCAGATACAAATATCTTGTTTTAGGAAGATATAAATATACTTTGTAAAAAAAAAACCACTCTGATTCTAAAAAAAGTTATCCGAAACTGAAATCATCAAGATGCTTGAATTTTTTATTGAGAACTCATTTGTTATGTTTGGAAGACGTTTTTTTTCTTTCAACAGACAATCGGCATGCCTTTGGAAACAAAGTTGTGCCCTCTTCTTGTCGAATTGTTTTTTTTTTTATTTATATGAGGCAGACTTCATACAGGCGCTTCTTAGGAAGAATACAAAATAAGACCAAAAGTACCCGCGGGAAGTATACGTCCAAAAACCAGTCCTTTGAAAATTGCATGCATTGAATATCTAGTATTGAAAGTATATAATTGTATTTATACTAAGATTGCATCTATTTCAGGCGAAGATAGCATCAATCATGGATTTTTTTTATGTTATGCTCTGTTACGTTTACATTTGTTTGCCTTTACATGGATTTTACTTTTTAGAATTTCAAAATGAAGTAAAATAATTGCTTTTCCAGAAAAAAAAATGACTTTTTAAATATTTCAACTTATCTCACCAAACATGTTCATATCCTCAAAATAATCTTCTTTGACAGTAATATTCAACCTTTTTAATCCTGAGGATTCTAAAATGATAATGATTATATTTTTTACAAACGATTTAATTTAAAAAGATAACATATCCCTATAACAAACATTATCCCATTGCCCACAAAATCATGGGCAAAGTGCGCAGCAGCGCAATTAAATTCGAATACAGCAAGGATGACCATAAAGATTTAGTATATGTAATGTTGAAATTACAGCAGAAACGATTGTAGATGCTTTTAAAATATTAACCACAAGTCATCTACAAGCTACAAAACAATAATCTATACTGTATACATGTACACTTTTATTAGAGGGTTTGAGGGTTTTTATCATACAAAGCAACACAATTGTGTTTCAAATGTTTGAAGCCCGTTGTGTCAGGTCAAACCTTGAAGCTGGACAAAGCTTTATAATGCCAGCGATATCTCCGTGTCAGACTTCATATCGTCGGCCAAAGTTTTAAAACGTCCATGATAACTCCGTGTCAAACTTGATATCGTCGGTCAAAGCTTTATAACGTCAATGCTGTCTCCGTGTCAGACTTGATATCGTCGGCTAAAGCTTTATTACGCCAATGATATGCCAGTGCCAGTATGTCCTCCATTTGTTCAATTAATTGATATGTAACAAAATTTCAGTAGTTTTGGTACTTCAAGCTGACTAGTATAACAAAATTTTTTGACCACATCAACCTAAACTGACCATATTTGCACTTTATTATGTAAATCTATATAGCTGCATGCATAGTAAATCAGCAATATTTTTATGTCAGGATAGAATATACATACAAATGACAGCAATATTGGAACACAATGACTACAAACTTTTGTCTCCTTAAATTAAGAGTGCCAGCATGTCCTCCTTTTGTTCAATATATTCATGATATTGATACGTAACAAAATTTCAGTAGTTTTGATACCTCAGACTGACTTGTATAGCAAAATTATTAGACCGTATCAATCAAAACTGACCATATTTGCACTTTATTATGTAAATCTATATAGCCGGATAATAATTCAGTAATATTTTTATGTCAGGAATGAATGTTTTATACAAATGACAGCAATATAGGAACATAATGTGACTACAAAATTTTGTCTGCATAAAGGAGTAGGCCCAGTAAGACCCCTTTTTGGCCCCAAAATAAAGCAGTTTTACAAAATTGTTAAAATGTAAATTTTTAGCTATTTATTGAAAAGAAGAATACTTCTGTTACATAAATATGGGCTGTTTTTGACAATACAATGCACATGCATTGGATACTAGCATCATTAAGTCATGCTAAATTACTGAAATCTTCGAAACTTTAGCATTTTGGTTAATTTTTAGACGGTTTCCGTCTAAAATGGAAGTGGCCGCATTTGTGTTCATTCTTAATATTTAAATGTAAGTTGTATTTGATGATAATACATAACATATATAAAGGTTGAGAATGAACACGGATGCGGCCACTTTCATTTTTGACAAAAACCATCTGAAAAGTGACATATTATTGCATATTTGATAGATATTTCATATTTAAGCTTGACTTTGAGCGTCTTTAATGAGTAAATCAGTTCAAATCTTTTACATAAACTAATTGAATCGACTGAATTAGACACTTAAGTGTTTAAAAAGTGTCCAAAATCTTACATCAGATGAACCTGAATTTTGAGGCCAAAATCGGCCCTTACCGGACCTACTCCTTTAGAGTGCGAGTATGTCCTCCATTTGTTCAATTAATTGATATGTAACAAAATTTCAGTAGTTTTGGTACTTCAGGCTGACTATTATAACAACATTTTAGTAGTTTTGGTACTTCAGGCTGACTAGTATAACAAAATGTTTTGACCGCATCAACCTAAACTGACCATATTTGCACTTTATTATGTAAATCTATATAGCTGCATGCATAGTAAATCAGCAATATTTTTATGTCAGGATAGAATATATATACAAATGACAGCAATATTGGAACACAATGACTATATAGCCGCATAATAATTCAGTAATATTTTATGTCAGGAATGAATGTTTTATACAAATGACAGCAATATTGGAACATAATGTGACTACAAAATTTTGTCTGCATAAATTTAGAGTGCCAGCATCTCCTCGTTTTGTTCAATTTATTGATACGTAACAAAATTTCAGTAGTTTTGATACCTCAGGCTGACTTGTATAGCAAAACTATTAGACCGTATCAACCAAAACTGACCATATTTGCACTTTATTATGTAAATCTTTATAGCCGCATAATAATTCAGTAATATTGTTCCATGATTGCATTATGGCATCGCGAATGATTCATATGGTCAAATAAAATTGTTCCATGAATACATTATGGCATCGTCAAATATTGAACGAAATTTACCAAACCAATATAAAGAATTAAACGAGATTTAACATACCAATATCAAAATTTAAACGAGATTAAACATACAAATATAGAAAATTAAACGAGATTGAATATACCAATATCACCTGAGAATTTTTCATTTTCGGTGCTGTATAACTCTTTTGATCCGGAGTACACTACAAATATTATATTTTAGGATATTAAATTTTAAAGTAAATGGTTATACACCGCGTTTGTACTGATTGTCATGGAATTACAATTATGTGAACATCAAAAAGGGTTTATACATTATGACATCGTCATTGATTTCTAGGGTTAAACAATATTGTTCCATGATTACATTAAGACATCGTTAATAATTTCGGATAGACTTTGTTAGTCTGAACAATTCTCTGAAGACGTCTAAAGGCCATAAAACGGGATTGACTGAAGGAATGACTAAGACGTAGTGTTACAAATGAAAGTTAACGAGATTTAACATACCAATATCAAAAATTGAACGAGATTTAATATAGCAATATCTAAAATTAAACGAGATTTAACACACCAATATAAAAAATTAAACGTGATTTAACATACCAATATAGAAAATTTAACGATATTTAACATACCAATTTCAAAAATTAAACGAGATTTAACATACCAATATAAAAAATTCAACGAGAAATAACATACCAATATCACCTGAGAATTCTTCATCTCCGGTGCTGTATAACTCTTTTGATCCGGAGTACACTACAAATATAATAATATAGGATATTGATTCTACAGTAAATGGTTATATACCACGTGTGTACTAATTGTCAAGGGATAACAATAATGTGAACTTCAAAAAGGGTTTGGCGCGCATTCTGTATGTGCCTGTCCCAAATCAAGAGCTCTGTAAATGTTATTAAGTGTTTGTCGTTTGTTGCTGTATATTATATTTTTTTTGGTCATTGTTTTGTACATAAATCAGGCCGTTAGTTTTCTCGCTTGAATGGTATTATATTTGTCTTTCCATGGCCTTTTATAGCTGAATATGTGGTATGGGTTTGCTCATTGTTGAAGGCTGTGCGGTGACCTATAGTTGTTAACGCCTTTGTCATTTTGTTTCTAGTGTGGTGAGTTGTCTTATTGGTAATCATACCACATCTTTTCTGATATTCAATGATATCACAGATTTACGAAATAAGTTGTCGAATTTAATTACAGGCACATGTGCTCATTTCGAAAATTGGTTTCTGATCAGGTTGAGCTCTAAATCAAATAAAGTATCTCTGAAAGAAGGCAAAGTTGACGACGAATCAACCCAAACACAACACCATAAAGGACACATGTACAAGACAAGAACCAACTAAGGAAAACCTTTACATCGAGAGGATGTACTTCGGATTTAACGTACATTTGTTACAACTGAAAATGTCAAAAAGACAGTAATACCATGCTAGTACAAAAACTCCGAGATTGTGATACTTGTTGACTTTTAATTTATCCAAATTGTCATCAACTCTATATATGGTAGTATTATTAAGTTACAAGATAACGAATTTAGAATATGTATTACATTAAATACTTCCCGAAAAAAATGCTCACCACATTACCATTACCTGCAGTTGGCGACATCGTGTTCATTGTCAGAGTGTCTTTTACATTGGGAGAAAACAGTGAAAAAGATTTGCTCTTTGTGCCTTCATTTCCTCTTTGTACGTCCACTGAAAAATATATGAATAATGCAAATTTAACCGCAGTTATGATAAAAGAATCATGAAATACAATTATGATTATGACAGTCAGACAAGCGACAACATCTGAATCACAGACTTTTGACTTGCGAAAGGCACATGAAGGATATGGCATGGTTAACATGTTTTCGATCGCTCAATCGTGTCCTAAAGCTATAAAAGAGAAGCAAAAGATACCAAAAGGATAAAAGTCAAAAACAAACTGACAATACCATGGTAAAATCAAAACACGATCACAATACAAACAACAATTAACAGTATACAAAACACAACAAAGAAAACTACACCGGGAGCTCACAGGTGCTCCAGAATGGTAAGCAGATCCTGCTCCACATGTGACACCTGTCATGTAAGTACAAACTCGGTTAATAAGCCTAATTCGGTAGGTAACACTCCGGAAAAATTGACGAGATTATGGTTACGACAATTGGAACATATCCGTCGTCATCAGTGAAACATATATTCCAAAACGGTCAACCAATCGTGAAGGCGTTCGTAAAATTTTCGAAGGGATAATTTCAACTTCACCACTTGGAACTTTTGGTTTAACAGTTTCCTTGTGAGCAGCAAACGTCTATCAAGAAATCATTGTAGGAAATGTAAGCCCCGGAATATCGTATCAACTATAACAGTTGTATGGAAGAAGAAATTGTAAAAATCAGTTGGAAATTGTGTGACTAATCGACACGTTATTAAGCACAAGACAATTAGAAACAAACTACTGATCTAAGACGACACAAAGTTAATGAAAGCTAGACAAGTTCAAAACCTAATTCTAACCAATACATAAACAATGTATTTCCAGACTGATTACCATGCTGGTCTGGTGATTATACGAGTGAATAAGATTTGGTGTGGGTGTGACGGCCACACTATTTACTAATTTGTTTCTGACTTTGTGGTGTTTTGTGCTTAATACTACTTTGTGATCGGTACCGCTGGTGGACAGTTCCCCGGGGATACCATCCAAAAAATAGCTAGTGCTGCGGTTGCTGCAATATTTCTCATATACTTTTTTTGTCTTCATATTTCCAGGACACAAATTTTATCACTTTCACCTTTTGATGCAAAGTTTGATGCCTCAGTTGAATTTCGGTGTCCTCTTTTGTCCCTTTTAGTTTTTGTCCTTCAAATATTAGTATATTTTTTAACTTTTTATAATTAGCGTACTTGAAGTTATTGATGTTCTAATGTTTTAACGTTTGAATGTTATTCTTATCTTAAATACATCTTAGGTTGTTTTCTTTGGAATAATTTGTGATCGTACCTGTATCTTGCGATGTCTTGTTCACTGGCTCAATCATATCAAAAGAAGAAAGCTTATTTTCTGTGTTTTGTTTTTGAAATTCTTCTAAGAAAAAAAAAGATATGATAAAAATGTAAAGCTATAAGCATGAAAAAAGTCAAGTCTAACTTTTTTTTATATATTTCATGAAGTATTCAAAATTATGTGATAGAGGTTCTCATAACTCAGATTAAATCATTTATATAAACATAATACATGTAATATATACAGGAGGAAAAGCATGATACACAGGATATTTTTGCATTAATCATAAATATAAACATAGTACATGTTATATACAGGAGGAAGAGCAACATATAGATGATATTTTGGCATACAGGATCTACAGGACTTAAATGCAAGAAATACAGGTTTTTTTTTGCATAAAAAATAATGACACACACATACATAAAAAATACCATGTGGTATAAAATTATAAACAAAACATTTATACAATGTGTTAATCGCCAATTGAATTGATTAAACTCTAGTTTTTATTTCAACATATACTTACTAAAAAGAAGAAACGGATTAAAAGTGCAACAGTTCAACAAAAGTTCGAAGCAAACTACGGTCAAGTTGTCATATCAAAATTTTTGAATCGAGGAAAATAACACGTCGTTCATTGATGATGACACATTGGTGTATACGTGCAGTTAAACTGCCTTTAATAGACATAATTAGTGATGTTAGTTTAGTAGTCACCATTTACTGAATCGTTTCCATCTAGTATTGTAAATAAAGGCAACAGTAGTATACAGCTGTTCAACTGTCATACATTGATAAAGAGAAAACAAATCGGGGTTACAAACTAAAACCGAGGGAAACACATCAACTATAAGAGGAAAACAGCGGAACAACAGAAACACTGAACTGGAACAAAAACAAACGCCAACATACATAGAAACGGACTATTTGATAACAACTGTCATATTCCTGACTTGGTATAGGACATATTAAGAAAAATGGTGGGTTGAACCTGGTTTTATGGCTAGCAAAACCTCCCGCTTATATGATAATGTTAACAAATATCGCTAAAATGACAACACTACGTGACAGGAATACAATACAAACAAACGCAAGAACACTTAGCACAGAGAAATGCATAAATAAATAATATAATAGTTTATTACAACATGTAAACCGCAGAATAACAACGGATATTTACCATGAATTAATGACAGCACAGAACTGCTCAAACTGCGACAAAAGAATGAATCAACGCCACAAAAAATGACGTATTTTTGTGACGTATATATAATCTTGAAATTCATACAATTATATGGAACGAGATCCAAACATTCACAATAATATTATTTTCACAATACTAGTCCAAATAATTATCATGATTATGACAGTCTTAACAGGTTATTTTAAATTAATGCTGTGACGACGTTATAATTATTTGGACTAACACAATACTTTATTCATGGAATCTGGAAATTAATTAGACAAATAAGACATATGTGAAATGTACCGAAAATACAGATATCAAACCACAATCGATAAGTTATAACACAATATCAAACAGTACTTACAAAAGAAATGTCACAATTAAATACTTGAATGTTGGATGCATAAATACCGAGACACGTCTTATAGCAATGGGAATTAGCACTCGGCAAAACAGTCATATTCGGGAATAGGTCACGTTCAGTACTTAACAGACAGACGACGTAGATGGTAAACCACAATCTAAGACGTGGTAAACATGTCGTAAGCCAAACACAGACACATCGTATATATCAACCAATTCGTAATGGTGTCCATAAAATTCACGAATGTCATTTTTAATCTTTCCTCCTCATAAATCTGTTGGAGCAGTGTCTGCGTAAGGAGCACACTCCTGTATATGAAGTCAGCTTAGTGTGAACATGCACGAGCATAACGTATCAATTGAGATATGTAAACATCATACGACGCAGCAGAGGGTATGTTACTGTAGTTCAGTATTTTTGTGATTTTACTTTTTACTGCTGAGAAATGGAAAATTGATAATTGGGAAGTTGAAATCATCCCGTTTGTCATACATTTTAATGTGAAGTCGTCCATCTGTGTCAATATTGAGGAAAATATCAAGGTATGAAGTAGTCCTTCTAGTATCAGTAGTATCTTTAATTTCAAGTTCACTGGGATATATGAGATGCAAGTACTGACTGAAATATGGGTTATTCAGTGATAAAGCATCATCAATATATCTGAAAGTAAAATTAAAGAATTTCACAAGGTGCTTTTTCTTTTTGTCTTTTAGAAGGCTCTGCATGAATTCTTCTTCATACTAGTACAAAAACAAATCTGCCAGAAGGGGTGCACAATTAATACCCATTAGAATACCGTCTGTCTGTTAACATATCAATCCTCCAAACTCAACAAATATATTGTTGATTAAAAAGTCCAGCATTTTGACAATATTATCTTCAGTGTATTGTCTGATAGAATCAATGTGGTTCTTCCAAAAATACGACTTATTATAACCCAACACAAGAAATGTATATCTACGATTCCCATTTTTATAGAAAACGCTCTGATTAGTGAGATGGTTAAGTCGATCTTTTAATTGATAGTTAGGAATAGTAGTGTAAAGCGTAGAAAAATCAAAGGTCTTAATGTTGCTGCAAATTTGCAGAGATTGTAATCTAAGATTTAGCACAGATCTTTAGAATTTTTGAGAATCCACATCTGATTGACACCACTGGTTGAATATATCTCATCACACTATTTTTGAAGGCCATTTTTGACTTTAGAAAGAATAGTAGTCAGCACTTTAGAAAGATGTTTAATCGAACATCTTGATGATCCAGTTATGTGTCGTTCTTTATGAGAAGTTTTGTGTAGTTTTGGTATCCAGTTTCTTTGTTTTCTTTGATTAATTGATCGTTGTTTGCTTAACATTGTTTTCTTTGATGTTAATAGCAAAAGAAGGAAGGACAGATTTGTGATTTTGTAAAATTTCATCATTTGTAAATGATGTTAAATGGTAAATGTCATACCACACAATATGATTTTTTTATTGCGTGGTCTTTGAATGTACCAAGTGTATGAAGGTTGTATCCAAATTTTATATCTATGTCGTGTGTATGAGTTGGGTTTGTATACGCAGTGGTCACTCACTTAACTGAATGATCCTGGAATGTATGATTTAAGTGTGGAATTCTTATTATACATAAGCTGGTGTCTTTTTATGATTTTGCTGTTCTTTTACAGCTTTTTTTAAAGAATGTGTGCTCCAGCGTTTGTTCTACATTAAGAGTATACTATCTTTATACGAATTGGAGCAATATGTAAAGCGAACCAGGTAAATTATACCTACGAGTCAATATATCTTAGTGATATAATTGCTACAGTTTTTTTTTAATGGTGACACGTCAAATTCACGAGAAAAACGAGATTTAGGAAACTTACGTTTATATATGTTATTCGATATATCTGCTTCGTCATCAGTGCTATAAAATGGGTTTGATCCTGAGAAACCTATATAAAGATAATATAACAGGATATCAATATGCATATTTTAGTGTTAAAATAAACAACAAACATGTAATCACATCTCGTCAATGCAGATCTTCGTGTTCAGTATAAACGCTATACTTTATAAGATTTGTCTTTAAAGAATCTTCTATTCAGTACACACACTGATATCAGGATTGTTGGTAGGTCATCAAATCGCAAATCTATAGTTGAAAATAATAGTTAAGTATTTCTATTGTATTGAATTTCTTTTCAGATTATTTCAAGCGATCGAAAAGAATCACCAATATTAGATAATAAGATTTCTTGATCTTATATCAGCAAGTTAAAAACTTGGGGATTGCAGATAATGTGAGCATTTGCCAATATCGTCATGTTTACTGTAGTTTTGTGTGTACTTGTGGTTTTGTTAAAATATTACCCAATCTATGATAAGGTGACGTGGTATGAGTCAAAACTGTATTTTAACCTAAGAAAAAAGAGGCATCACAATATGTAGTCGTAATTTTGGGTCTAACTTTGTTTAATAAGTGTAGAGCTTTTTGACTGGTGGAAACTACATTTTACTTATTTGATGCATCTGAAGCTTTTTGAAATTACTTAAAGTACTTCAGACCGCTCAACCCCCGAAACTTAAATGCCAAATGTGAATAAATGCTTGTTTTAGAGGTGGAAAAGGTATACATTGAAAAAAAAAACGTGAGAAGCTTTATGACTAAAGGGTCATTAAGAAAATAAGAAAATCAACAGATGCTCAACTTTGCCAGATCGAATCAGAACCTAAGTGTCTTAATTATTTTCAAATTTATCAACGGGGAGTTTTTTTAAAAGTTTGTTATCAATCATTTTAGTGTCGAACCAATGACTACTTATATATTCGGGAAATATCAGTCTAACAGCAGTGGTTTCTACCAAGTGCTAAAAAATCGAAAATGCAACTTTAAAAATATGGTGTGTCTGAAGCGATATATCTTCACCAGGTCGTTTATTGTTTTGTTCATAAATCAGGCAGGTATTTTGTTTTAAATAGTTTTACATTTTGTCATGTCGGGACCTTTTATAGCTTACTACTAATGAGGTTTGCTTATTATTGAATGTCGTACAGTAACCGTTAGTTGTTTAATTCCACGTTATTTGATCGCTTGTGGGTAGTTGTCTCATTGACATTAAAATAACGTCTCCTGAACAGAATGTAATAGCATAGGAAAAGACAATTGTCTTCATGAAATATAAGTAAAAAGTTACAAGTACAGTTCACGTGGCGATTAGACACATCTATATAGGTATAAGAAGATGTGGTATGAGTTCCAATGAGACAACTCTCAATCCAAGTCACAATTTGTAAAAGTAAACCATTATAGGTCAAAGTACGGCATTCAACACGAAGCCTTGGCTCACATTGAACAGCAATCTAAAAAGGGCCCTAAAACTGTTTAGTGTAAAACCATCCAAACAGGAAACCCAACGGTCTAATCTATATAAAAAAAAACGAGAAACGAGAAACACTTATGAACCACATCAACAAACGACAACCACTGAACAACAGGTTCTTGACTTAGGACAGGTGCAAACAAATGCAGCAGGTTTAAACGTTTTAAGAGGCGCCAACCTTCACCCTGACCCGAAATAATAGTGTTACATCACAACATAGAAAAACACACTTTGAAATATCAATTAAAATGGCTTAACTCAATCAAAAGACATATTAACAAAATCAAGAAAACATTCACTGAACGACTTAATTTGATCTATGACATAATGTAAATACAAAATTAATAAAAAGGGGGAGGGTGTATGTAAAACAATATCAGAGAGACAACTATAACCTTTGGACAAAATGCCATTTATTAAAATCACGTTCACAGATAAATAAAAATAATTTTGTTGTTAGGAGTACATGGAGTACGGAAATATTTTTTACAAAATGAATAAATTTGTTGTTCATAGAACGAGAAAAGAAATGAAAATTTATCGTCAAACTAAATCAAAGGTGGTATATATTAGAAATAGTGAGACGAGATATAACACAAAATAAGTAATCATTAGGTAACAAAAATGCATACATGTATGCTTCAAAAATAGAGTGTTGTTATAATGACTGTTCAAACGTTTACATTACAAAAACATATTATGTCGTCGATAGTGATTCCTGGTTACAATTTGTTTGTCGTTTTCCCTTATATGTTAATAAAGGCAAGAAAAACTTCGGGAATTACATGACATTAACGAGATTCAAGAAACATACCAATGTTATCTGATAATGATCCCAAATATCCTACACAGAAAACAATAAAAGTACTTAGAGATATACATTTTTGTTTCAAACTATACATAATATTTATGCAAATAATTTAATTTTATTCTATTTCAGTATTTGTTTGCCTAAATGACGGATGATGCATGTATGTATGGAAGGGTAGCATACATTTATGAATACGAAATATAAGTGTATTTCGTGGTTCGTTTCAGGGTATAGGGCCGTTAGCCAATTTTCTAAACAGTTAAAAGTCCTTCGTTAATTACTGAATCCGTTTTATAGTTTTCTGAAATGAATGCACACTTGGTACATTTTAATTTGCAAAACCAACCAAGACCCCACTGAGTCTCTTGTACATGTTTAAAATGTGGAACATCACAATGTGGACCTTTACATATTGAACAAACTACTTGACAATGAATCATAACAATGTAAAGATCGCTATCTGTTGTTCTATTTTCTGAATTTACATCCCGTAAACATTCATCTAGAAAATCATCAGACAATTTACACGGGTAAAGTATTAGCAGAATTTGTCTCTTTGTGGGAGTATATAATACATCTTATCATATATTTCTTTGAAATGATAAACAGTCTTTTTTATGTGTAATGATAATCTAAATTATGACACCATCAGGCCATGACGTGACAAAAATATTGATATCACAATGTACACTTCACAAAAATATTCTAGTCTTGATCTTTCATGCACATACACACAAAAAGTATCTAGGATATTTATAATGTGACGGATTGAAAAAAGATTAAAGAAATCTATTGATGTTCTGTTCAGTAATATAATTATACAATTGTTTTCCCTTGCGACGAAAATAAAACAAAAATAAAAACAAAGACAGAAAAATTAGTAGTGAAACGTTCCTTAAACTTGTTCATGGTGTATCAACAAACAATTAGGATTTCTTTAAAGTTAGTGTGTAAATGCATGTCTATGAATAGCACAGATATATGAAAAGCAGTGTCAGCTAGAAAAGTTATAGGCAAAAAAGTATAACAAAAAATACCGAAGAAATGTGAGTTGGTAACATATCTGTTATTTTCCCTAAAAAGAGATACATGTTTTAAACAATAATAAGAATGGTCATTTTATAAAATGAGCTTATTTCATTTACGATTGGGATAAAAGGTAGAAAAACATGTTCGCAAGATGTATCGATCAAACACTGTGATATTAGTGGAATTTGATATGAGCTTATTTGATATTGCTCAATATCTCTAATGAATCTGGAGGTGAGAAATTCAAAAAAGGATATTTCATTCAATTGTTCTAATTTGTGTGACAATTTCGTGAGAATTGTATTATTCACCACCTTTTGAAGCTATATACTTTACGGGAAAATCACTTTCCATTACCTACCCGTGAAACAAACCAAACATATGTTAGTGTCTCAGCTTTTTTATGAGCCACCATAAATATGCAAATTTACTATATGCAGTTCGAAACAAAAGAAACTGGTACCATTACCGCGTAACATAAAACAATTGTGCATATTGACCCCCGCATGAGAAGGCATACTATCTATCAATAATTATAATTCTGCACGTACCGTTATGAAATGTACAACCATTATTTGTTGTGGTATCTTAAATTAGTTGCAAGCTTATATTTACAAACGGGTTATATTAGTCTTTGGACTTTGCCATCATATTGTGTGTCCCTGATGTTAAAATGTAATCCGAATGTATAATACAAGGAATATTTCATAAATAAAAATAATTATTATGTTATACCTTTTCTTGCAAATGTCGTGTTCACGTTTATGCTTTTATTCATTTGTTGAGAAAACAATGAAGAAGAATGTTTCTCCTTGCTGTCATTTCTTCTCACGACCTTCAGTGTCATCTCTATAAAATACAAACATAAAGAAAATATTTGCAGACATTTCATAAATGAATAATTTGCATATCATATAAACACAAACACATAAGTATGTTTGATTAAATTTTGTTGTATCCCCAGTTTACTAAATGGTGACTTACTGGTGTTTGACGGCATAGTGTTTATGTCCATGGTGTTTCTATGCGCGGTTACAACACTCTTTACTGGTTTGTGACCTCCTGGTTTTTGACTGCAAATGTGTTTCACTTCTGAGAGTGTTTGCTTGATATTAACACCTTTTTTACTGGATGTTGACCTACTGGCGTTTGACCGCATGGCGTGTTCCTCGTTGGTGTGTGTGTGTGTGTGCGTTTTGTTAAACAAATCAAGGATACTATTTCATTAATAAGTAAGCCAGATTGGCAAGTCAATTACATAAGACTCATCAGTGTCTTACAAATCAGTTGAAAGTATAAATCGATTAATAGTATTGTGCATATCATTTTGATTTAAAACTGAAATAAACGTTGCCTGAAGATATTTCTGGAGAGTAAGTCGTGGTTGAATTCAATGTGATCACAGTAGTTGAAAGTTTATGGTTTTCATTTTCCTTCAGTGGCCGTTCATTATAACTTGGTTTTTGTACTGAAATCATATTAAAAAAAGATAGATTAGTGTAAAAACTAGGATATAAATACAGGTGATGTATTCGGCAGTGTAAGATAACCTGATTTGAATAACGTACTGATAAAGGTCATAAAAAAATATATTATCCAAGTTTAATTAATCAGTTTATTTATCTGAACATGTGTGATCGAGCTATTCTGATGCTTTTTTTCATTGTATCGTGATAACTACAAAAGGTTCTCATATAATACAATATATATATAATAGAAAACAAAGGATATGGGGTATCCATCAATGACACAAAATCAGTACATGCACAGCATATTTATACAGCATTTATTACTGATCGATATTAAAAAGAGTAAGCATATGGGAATTCAAAAAGAACCTAACACCGCAACATGAGATGAATTTCAACAATTACTGTATTTGTTTATTTGTTTATATTTTTTTTTTCATGTGGTGTTGATGGAAGATCTTTTAGAGTTTTCGGTAGTTCTGTTATTCATAAATCGTCTAGACGCTGGGAAATATAAGGCTTGACTTATTTCCTAATCATTTAACTTTTTTAAAGTCTGTTAAGTACATACGGATGTCAAGTTAGTTCAATATTCAATATTCAACATTCAACATTCAAAATTTGTTAAACATTTTTTTTTTTCAATCTTTTTTTTTCCACATACGTTCTCATATTCAAAATTCGATTTTTACATTCAACATTTCAAAATTTCTTTTTTTTTTCAACACATTCGATTTCAAAATACAATATTCGTTTTTCAACATTCGTTTTTCAATATTCATTTTTAACATTCAACATTCGTTTTGAACATTCGATTTCTACATTCAACATACAAAATTTTTTTGGTCAATTTTTTTTTTTTTCCACATCCGATTTCAACATTCATCATTTGTTTTCAACTTTCAACTTTTTTTTTTCAACATTCGTTTTCAACATTCAAGATTCGTTTTCAACATTCGCATTTCAACATTCAACATTCGTTTTTCAACATTCAACATTCAATTCGTTTTCAAAATTCAACATTCGATTTCAACATTCAACATTCAAATTTTTTGGTGAAAATTTATTATTTTCAATTTTTTTTTTTTTTTATTTATTATTTTTTCAAAATTCGATTTCAACATTCAACATTCGTTTGTTCATTATTCAACATTTGTTCTCAACATTCAACATTCCAATATTTTTTTTGTTTTCATTTTTTTTTCAGCATTCGATTTCAACATTCAACATTTGTTTTTCACCATTCAACATTCGTTTTAAACATTCAACATTCGATTTCAACGTTCAACATTCAATATTTTTTTTGTCAAAATTTTTTTTTTCTTCAATTTTTTTTTCTCCCAACATTCGATTTCAACATTCAAAATACGTTTTCAACATTCAACATTCGATTTCAACATTCACTATTCAAAATTGTTTTGTCAATTATTTTTTTTGTTTCAACATCTGATTTCAACATTCAACATTCGTTTTCAACATTCAACATTTGTTTTTAACATTCAACATTTATTTCTCAACATTCGTTTTCAACATTCAACATTCGTTTTCAACCTTCGTATTTCAACTTTCAACATTCGATTTCAACATTCAACATTCGATTTCAACATTCAACATTCGTATTTCAACATCCAACATTCAATTTAAACATTCAACATTCGTGTGTTCATTATTCAACATTCGTCCTCAAAATTCAACATACACATTTATTTGTGTTTTCAATTTGTTTTTCAACATTCGATTTCAACATTCAACATTCGTTTTTTTTCATTATTCAGCATTCGTTCTCAACATTCAACATTAATTTTTTTTTTCTCAACATTTGATTTCAACATTCAATATTCGTTTTTAACATTCGTTTTCAACATTCGTATTTCAACATTCGTATTTCAACATTCAACATTCGATTTCAGCATTCAACATTCGTTTTTCAACATTCTCAACATTCGTTCTCAACATTCAACATTCAATTTTTTTTTTTGCAATTGTTTTTTCAACATTTGATTTCAACATTCAACATTCGTTTTCAACATTCGTATTTCAACATTCAACATTCGATTTCAGCATTCAACATTCGCTTTTCAACATTCAACATTCAATTTCAACATTCAACATTCGTTTGTTCATTATTCAACATTTGTTCTCAACATTCAACATTCCAATATTTTTTTTGTTTTTATTTTTTTTTCAGCATTCGATTTCAACATTCAACATTTGTTTTTCACCATTCAACATTCGTTTTAAACATTCAACATTCGATTTCAACGTTCAACATTCAATATTTTTTTTGTCAAAATTTTTTTTTTCTTCAATTTTTTTTTCTCCCAACATTCGATTTCAACATTCAAAATACGTTTTCAACATTCAACATTCGATTTCAACATTCACCATTCAAAATTGTTTTGTCAATTATTTTTTTTGTTTCAACATCTGATTTCAACATTCAACATTCGTTTTCAACATTCAACATTTGTTTTTAACATTCAACATTTGTTTCTCAACATTCGTTTTCAACATTCAACATTCGTTTTCAACCTTCGTATTTCAACTTTCAACATTCGATTTCAACATTCAACATTCGTTTTCAACATTCAACATTCGTTTTCAACATTCAACATTCGATTTCAATGTTCAACATTCAAATAATTCATTTTTCACTTTTTTTTTAAATTTAGTTTTCCCCAACATTCGAAATCAACATTCAACATACGTTTTCAACATTCAACATTCGATTTCGACATTCAACATTCTAAATTTTTTTTTGTCAATTTTTTTTTTCAACATCCGATTTAAACATTCAACATTTGTTTTTCAACATTCGTTTTCAACATTTGTATTTCAACATTCAACATTCAACATTCGTTTTTCAACATTCATCATTCGTTTTCAACATTCAACATTCGATTTCAACATTCAACATTCAAAGGTTTTTTTTTGTCAATTTTTTTTTCAATTTTTTTTTTGTAACATTCGATTTCAAGATTCAATTCGTTTTTAAAATTCAACATTCGATTTCAACATTCAACATTCAATTTTTTTTTTTTTTTAAATTTTTTTTTCAACATTTGATTTCAACATTTAACATTCGTTTTATAACATTCAATATTCTGTTTTCAACGTTTGTTTTCAACATTCAACATTTGTATTTCAACATTCATCATTTGATTTCAACATTCAACATTCTTTTTTCAACATTCGTTTTCAACATTCAACATTCGATTTTAACATTTAACATTCAAAATTGTATTTTTTCTCAATTTTTCTTTATTTTTTTTTAATATTTGGTTAGTTGTGTTAAATTTGAGATTCTACCGCACTTCCAATTTTGTAGTATAAATTCAGCATCTCATCTCTAAAATTCAACATAAATGGTAAACGACGAGTTACTTAGTAAATATACAATATCAGATTTTTTTTTTACAAAAATTAAATCATTTCAAAAATTCAAATTAACTGATAATAATAATATGGCTTTTTTAAAGAATGTCAAAAACGCTTTTAAAGAAGGTGTTAATAAAAGTAATATGGAATCCAAAATTGAAATAAATAAAATAATGACAACTGATAATAATAATGTGGCTTTCTTACAAGATGATTTAACAAATGACAAAGCTTTTGATGAAAAGGTACAGTGGCAAAATCAAGAAACTTTAAAATGGAAAGAACTCAACAACGGAGTGATTTATACAACTTTACAGGTAATAGATGTAGATGGTAAGTTTAGAAAAAGTAAAATACTTTCTTTGAAAAATAGAGAAGGGGAAACAACTAGGGTATGGGCCTGTAGTAGACTTAACAAAGAAAAGGAATCTTTTGAAGGAGCCTTTGTTGAAAAATACAGGTTTTAAAATTAATAAAAAAGACAAACAATGAGTAATTCCATACGATCCTTTAAGAAAGTAAAAAAAAAAATAAAAAAGTGTTTTGCTGGATTAGAAATTATTAAATAGTGGTTTTTGTGAAAACGTTCCATCACCTAACGGAGCATAATCACGAAGCGTAGCGGAGTGATGCCTGTAGAGGTGATGGAACATTTTACCCTATAACGCATGCACCATAAGTCTGCGGCACTTCCAATTTTATAGTAGAAATTCTGCATCTTACCTCCAAAATTAAATATATATGGTCAACGAACACAGCGTTTGAATGAGTAACTAAGTAATTATACAAACAATGCTAGAAATACCTTAAAGGATGTGATGATAAAAGTAATATGGAATCAATTCAAATTAATAAAGACACTTTAAAGGGAGGTGTTGTTATAAGTAATATGGAATCGATTAAGATTAATAAAAACACCTTAAAGGGATGTGTTGATAGAAGTAATATGGAATCAATTCAAAATAATAGAAACATCATAAAAGGAGGTGTTGATAAAAGTAATATGGAATCCAAGATTAAAATAAGTAAAAGAATGACAATTTATAATACTAATATGGATTTATACACCTTAAACAAAAGTGGTAATAGTAATAAAATGAATATGAATTCAAATAAAATTAACGATGAAGAAATGCCTGGCCCATCTTGGCCGACATTTAAATTTATACCATCTGAAAGCTGCGGTGCTCAATTTGTTAAAACATTTTGCGACGCAAAAATGAGGAGGAATAATGGGTTTTGTAAGAGTAAACATGGAACAGACGAACTGTGCTGGAGACACAGAAAACAACCATCCAATCAGGATGAAGAAAATGTTGATATTTGGAAGAAAAATACAGGTAAAAAAGACCTCGAAGGAACTCCGTCAAATAGCTAAGGATGAGGGTTTGAGGAGCTACAGCAAACTCTCAAAGAAGAATTTGATAAAGCTCTTTGAAGAGAAAACCAACTGAAAATTTCCCCGCGAAGAGGTTTTTTCCATGAAGGAGGCGAAAACACTCACAAAGAGACACAACATTACCAAGTACTCTCGGCTAAGGAAAGACAATCTACTCTAATTGGTAAGAAATGACATTGAAAATGCACCGGTTGAAGACGAAATTAAAGTAACTGATAAATG